GAATACAATTAAAACAAAAACTGATCTAAATAAAGTACAAGTAATTTAGTCCCCCCCCCTCCCTTCCATAGGTAAAGGTAAAGTGATTTTTTTTGGCTTAAATATTGTGCTTTTTAAAAATGTTGACAGAGGTATACTATATAATGAACGCTAACATTTTTTTATTTGTTTTGTAACCTGTAGCTGATGGATTTTGCTTCACATGGGGCCAGTCTCATTATCGTACCTACGATGGATTCATGTATGATTTCCATGGTTCCTGCTCCTACCTCTTAACTGGTGACTGCACTGACCACAGCTTCAAAATTCATGTGCACAATGACCGCGCATGTGCACGCCAGTCGATGTGTCAGCGCACCATTACAATCTTTGCCGGTGAAATAGAATTTGAGTTGAAGCAGACAGATGACATCTTTGTAGCATCTAGGAACAAAGAGACCTGTACCCTTCCAACCACCCTGGATAACCTCCATATCAAAGTAATATCACAATATCTTTACATAAGCAGTCCGTTTTTTGGGTTCAACCTCCTGTGGAATGGTGGGGAACATTTAGCGGTTCAAGCCATGAATAAACTTGTTGATAAAACTTGTGGATTATGTGGAGTTTACAATGGTGACTACACAGATGATTTATCGGATCAAAATGGTGAGGTTGTTGACCTTGTGTCGGCATTTGCAGAGGGCTACAAAAGGAATGACGAAGAAGGTGAGAATATACCATAAGGGTTGTATTTAAGAGTATGAAAGTACATACTTAATTATATTCTAAAGTTATCATGTCTCATGACATACATATTACTGTCAAACCTGTGTATACTAACCATCTAAGGAACTTTTATTGAAATTATTATTATTATTATAGAATTTTTAGTAAAAACACAGACATGACATTAATAATTTCTTGTGTTTTATTTCACATTTCAGTGTATTCATTTTAATCTTCAGTAAGGGATTTACTGCGCCAGATTATTTTTAATTAGTGTTAATTATTTGATTAGTGTTAATTATGGGCTTTCATAAAATTTATAGGTTGGTTTGATTTAAACTATTCTTATATGAAAATAATTAGTACAAAGTGTCATTATAACGTCTACTACATTCTTAAATATGCTTTAAATATACAGATAATTGTCCAGATGAAAACCAGGATTCGTATTGCCACTTATATCCAAGTAATAGTGAGTATGCTACCTCAGTTTGCGACACACTGAAAGGAGACGACTTTGCTGAATGTCACGTGAGTTTTGTTTTGTTTTTATGTAAACGTTTGTCATGTCAACGTACATAACTGATCTAAGCCTATTATAACTTCGCATTTTGCCAATAGATCATTGATGTAATTGGCCACCGAAATTTTGGTGAGATCGAGAGATTTTATGCCTCAAACAGTGTTTTATCCTCTCTCTCGTCATGTTTACTACATTACCTTAGACTTGCTGGCAGTCTGTTGCAATTCCGATGAAAAATTCTTGTATCGACTACAGGCGATGTGGTGAGTTTAAAGAAAACATAGCACGAGACAAGTAAACACAGGCACGTGGGATGTTCGGTTTATTGTTATGATCCGTGGCTCGGCTGCTCCACCCACCGTATGACGTATATGTAAATTTACAAGCCTGAATCTGGCCGGTAATGTGAGGGCGCTTACACTGATGGCAAGTCTGTTGGGATTTCGTGGTCACATGAATTTAGCGCTCGCCCCTTACATAATTTATATTTATTTTTCAAGAATTTTTCATCGGAATTGCAACAGACTGCAAGCAAGTCTATCCATGACCTATGTATCCTTAGTATTGCGAGTCATATATCAGACCGTAATGGAACACTATTAGAGGCAAAAAAACAATTTTCTCTCGTTGTTTGCAAGATCTTGACAGATGTCAATTACAGTACTCTTCTTAGCGAGTCTGATATATACTACACATGTCAATACCTTTAATTATAATTTTCATACAATGTCTTAATTTATAATATTTTGGTATCAAATTTCACATGTCATTTATTCAAATAAATGTTCATTCATATTGTGTGTTGTATTTCTTTTCTATGCATGTAGGCAGCAAACCTGAGCAAACCTTTACAAAACTTTTCTATGGAAAATTCTGTATAAGTTCTGTAACATTTGGCCCCCCTTTTTATAGAATTGAATATAATATCTATAGAAAAATTATTTTTCTATAGAAATTGTATGGAAATTTGCTTAATTTCTGTAGAAAATCATCTATAAAATTACATTCAATTTCTTTGAAAATTCTTCAGATCATTTTCGTAATGGGATTATTTTGAAAATATTGCAACTTGAAATTGCCTGTATTACCTGTATTATTGGACATCTTTTAACGTATAGTTCAATGAAATGTGGGGAAGCATTTATCTGTAATTGCTTAATTCCCAAAATTACCTGTAATGCTGAATACTTGTTTTTTGTAAATACCCGGTAAATAAATATTATAGTGATGGTTACATATCAATACAGGAAATGAGTTTTAATATCTTTTTTATAGGACGTAGATTATACACCGTTTTATCTGGCGTGTTTAGAAGATGTGTGTTACTGTAATTCAACAGAAGACCACTGTGAATGCCAAAGTTTCTCGGCGTATGCAAAGGAATGTGTTCGTAGTGGTGTGACAGGCCTTCAGTGGAGAACACCTGACAGATGTCGTAAGTTTTTATATTTGCTATACAAACAAAATGTCTTTTATTTCTTTATGGGTGACAGTGATGAGTCATTTTACAGCAGTACACAGAGACAGTTGATCGTTATACAAAAAGTGAGGCTTAGTCTTTTCCACGAAACGAAATGAAACCAAATAAAACGAAACGAAACGAAACCCTAACCCTTACCTTAGATTTTGAACGACCTCAAACATCGTCACGTCCGTATTTCACAGTGTGAAATTTTCTCAGATATTATTGGGCCAATGAAAACAAAAATGCGAGTTAGGGTTAGGGTTTGGGTTTGGATTTCATTTCGTTTCGTTTCGTTTCGTGGAAAAGACTAAGCCAAAAAGTGAAAGAATTGTATTTCGCATGATGACAATGTTTTAAACCGTGTGACAGTGATGGTATATTGTGAATTTATTATTACCGTTAATTAATTCATATTCCTCCACATTTTTGGAATAGAGGGCAACGTTAATATATGTCATTCATCATTTCATGCTGTGCACTGTTTCAAAAAATATATCCAAGTCTTGGTAGCCTCAGTAGTCCATGAAATTAAAATAATATATCATATATCATCAAGCCAATTATATCAGTACAATACATTTTACAAAACTAATCAAATTTATTATCAATGTTCAAACCTAAAAACTAACTATTGCTGCATTCTGATTTCAGCCATACAATGCCCTGGTGAGCAAGTACACATGGAGGGAGGCGACACGTGCCCTCAAACTTGCAAAGGTACGGTGTACCAGTGCATCGATGGAATCAGTCTGGATGGCTGTCAATGCCCGTCAGGAATGCTTCAGCATGGAAACGTGTGTCATAACCCTGATAATTGTCCATGTCAATCTGGTGGACGGGAATATTCCATTGGGTCAGTTATACCAGCCGCAGACGAGTGTAATACTTGGTGAGTTTCATTACTAGTAATTATCATAAAGCTGAGAGTTCAGTGAACATGGGTGAATGGATGGTGTGTTGATCCCATCTAAAAGAAAAATTCATGTTTTCTATTATAGTTGCTGGGGTTTATTTTCTTTTTCTTTTATGTAAAGTTATTCTACTGTAGAATTATCAGCAAAATATAATAATATATCAACCATGTTTTAAAACTGTGTTGTGATAATTGCATCAATACAGTAACTGTAAAAGCATTTATTTTCACTGACATTTAAATTCACTATTTTAATATTTTGAGCATATTCACTGTGTTTTAGTTTCATGAATTTGTCAAGGAAACAATGAGTTTTATTGTTATTTTACATGTTCACATAGATTTAATTTAAATTAGCAAAAAATAGTAAAATTAAAACCCAGTGAATAATTAATGCATTTACAGTAGTTGTTGATCCATCCTTTATAATGTGACGTTAGACTCAACTTTTACGGTGTATGACGTGTTTAAAGAAGAGAACATATAATATTGATGAATAAATTGAACTATCATGATTCATCATGACATGAAAAAGTTGGTTCTTGTAGCACAAATCTGATTATATGTTGAATGAAACAATGAATTTATCCAGTACGCATGTGCCCAAGTTGTTTTGGTACAATAACCATCAATGCATAATAGTTGATGTAACTGACACACCGCTAATCGCACATCGATATCTGTTTCAGTACGTGTGATGCAGGGAAATGGTCGTGTACTTCAAACTTATGTGGGGGTATGTATAAGTGTTTCTACCGTAGTTGAGATTTCTGTGTAAAAAAAAAATTCTGTTCTGAGAACTGGACTTTCTGAAAGGTCTTGTGAGGCAGAGATATTGCGTTTGGTGGATTTTTGTTGACAAAGAATTATGATTTCACAACGACTTTACAAAAATTTTATTTTATTAATTGTACAAATACTTCACAACTCTTCTAAAATATCTTTACATTGATTACAGCAACCTGTTGGACTGGTAGCAATGCTCACTATCGGACATTCGATGGTCGTCATTATGACTTCATGGGTGAATGCACTTACGTATTCATGTCAAGCTGCAATGGGACGTTGGCCGACTATAGCATTAACATAGAAAATTCACATTGCTTAAAGGACTTTGATGGAGGACCCTTAACGTGTACAAAGTAAGATGTTTAAAATGTCTAAAATGCCTATATTACGTAGTATATATATTTTATAATTTGTAATACTTGTTTTATTTTATTTTTATTATGTTTATTGCACAAAAATATAAATCATATAAATTAAAACCAATTATAACCATCAATAGGTTATTGCATTATTTTATGCAACTTAGATATCTACTGTAAAAGGGTTAATTATCCACTGGGTTTTAATTTTGCTTATTTTGCTGACTGGAAAATGCACTAAATTTTAACCCAGTGAATATGTGAAATTTAGCATAGAACACATTATCTAAATGATAAAACCGTGAATTTTAAAACCCCACTGAATATGCCTGAAACTGTAAATCAGCGAAATTTAAACCCAGTGAAAATTAGTCATTTTACAGTATGTATAATGATATGCAAAGTAAATCTCCTTTCTTGATGATGATGGTTTTTCCAATCTCAGACATATATTGACCAAATTTTTTCAAGAAAGTTTTTACTTTAGTGGGTAGCACATTATAATGCTGAATACTCGCAAAGTCTAAACATTTAATTGTAATTGTTTTTAAAATAATAAAGTCACTGAAAATTAATTGGACTAATGACTTATTAACGCTGTAATAGCTTCTATTGTACTGAATAATGTAGTTACATACGTAGATGTAACAAGTCTGTCTCTTTTATTCTCAGTGAGATATTGACTGCCATTTGTGTCTGAGATCTAATGTCCGTTTCCAGAAAGCAAACACGTAATACACTTTCTCAAATGTGCAAAAACAGTTGCATACCCTAACCCTTAAAAAACCTTGATAAAAACGCCTGAATAAATTTAAAAAAAAGACTGTATCAAAAGACTGACTTAGACTGACAGACTGTCATCTTTATTTACTATTTGCATGCATGCACATATATGCACAGTGATTGGTTAGAAAGAACCAGTACTCAAAGATAAAATAAGTTGTTCACGTTCGTTATCAAATAAACCTGTCCATGTTGATAAAATGATTAGCAAGTAGCGTTGTCATAGCAGATCGCTAGCTGATTGCTGATCAGACTTTCACATGCTGGTTGACAAAAATGTAAACGAATAATGTCACAGTACAATGAGTATTGAATGATTACGGTATATTTTTTATATACACTCTTTTCACAGATCAGTTACCATTACGATTGGTGGTACATTTGTGAAATTGAAGACGGGACATGAAATCATAGTGGACGGTGACGATGTAGATGAACTCGATTTGCCATTTGAAGCACCCTCTATTTATATAGAACAAGTATCCGACCAGTTTCAAAAGGTTTGTCTCTAACAATTGGCATCATTGCATGTGAATACAATGGTGGCATATCAGGAAACATTGTTTTCAAAATGTAACTCTGCCTCAACGACATCTTCACACCATGGTTTCATATGTATGCATTGATTTTGAAAGTGTTATTATCTACTAACCAACAAATATAATGTTTGTTTAAATACTAAAATCTGTATTTTCAATTTGATAAACAAATTACTGCTGATAATATCAAACACAAACATTTTAGTTTATTTGTCCCATCTTTTTAAACTTGAACATAATTATGCTTCTTGTCAGAGGATTTTACCTCACAAAGCTACAAATCAGATGATACTCATGGGAATCATGTTTGGTAACATTAGCTAAATGTTGTTTGTTCAAGTTTGAAAGAAAATTTTCTTTAAACGCAAAGTAAATTAGGTAGCTGTATCATTTCATCATTTCTATAGCAGCGTAGTGTATTGAGACTATTATCTGAAATATTTAGTCCCCGTTCGGACGTAGTCCAAAAACGGGGACTTATGGTTTGCCCTGTGTGCGTCCGTGCGTCCGTGATCACCTGTATCTCGAACATGCATGGACCGATTAAGTTCAAACTTCACTCATACATCACACATTATATGGGACATATGCACATTCATTTTTTTTATGATCCGATTAACGATTGCCGAATAGCGGCCATTTTAAGGCCGAAAATGCATCAAAATGGCACATTTTTACCATTCCGGACCCGGATCTCAGTTATGCATGGACGGATTTTGTTCAAATTTGGTACATACATTAAACATAATAGGACCTTGATGCACGTCATTTTGTTTTTTGGATCAGGTTTGAAATGGCCGACTGGCGGCCATTTTGTTTTAAAGAATTCAGTTCTGGATCCGTATCTGAGACATGCTTGGATTGATCAAGTTCAAACTTCACACACACAAGGTACATCATGTTACAAATATGTATGTGCATTTGTTTCATGATCTCATTAATGATAGCCAAATGGCGG